CCCGCAGCCGCAGGAGTCGCTGGTCGGAAGTTTTCGCCAGTTTCCGCCGAGGCTTGTGCGGCCGTGGGGCCTGAGACCTTTGCTGTGGCGTTTCCAGCGTCTGGGAAGGATGGTTCCCAGCGTTGGCGCTGCGGGCACGGTGCTGCTTGCTCGTGTGTTCCACGGAAGGCCAAATTAAAAAGCCTGTGTCTTTGGAGAGTGGAGTGAAACGCTGTGTGTGCAGAGCAACGTTTGCTTGCGGTGGTCTCGGTTTGTTGCTTTGCAGTGTATTTTTATTCTGTGTCTCATAAGTAGACAAGTAGAATTGAGCTGCATTAAGTGAACAAGAAAAGCAAAATGTAAAGTTTCGTTGACGTTCATGCTCTTTGTTTGGCCTGAAATTCTATGAAGTTATACAAAATCTTTAGAGGAGTGTTTTTAAAATATTTTGCTATTTGTAATTGTATTTCCTCTTTCTGGAAGTTAAGAATGGAAATAATGGTAGATACAGTCTTCTGAATTGTGTGGTCATGTGTACATAGCCCTTGGTATTGCCATCTTACTCCCATTGGAAACTCTCATATAGCTAGAAAGCATTAGTATTGCTGTAAAGATCAAGAGTAAAACTTTGAAATGTTGAAGACCACCAGCCTTCTGAAGGAGTGCTGCATTTGACTCTGCATCTTTGGCTCCTAGTTCTGTAGGAAACTTCCTGTATGAAACTTCTAAGAATAGATAAAAGGAGTTGAACTAACCTGGTTAGCAGTGATCAGTATATGGATTCATCATCAGGAAAAGAAGCAACTGAAGCATTCCTTGTTACCACAACACGATTATGAAGCATTAATTTTGTTGCATGTATAATGAAAGAATTCTGTCTTTGTTTTCAGAGTTTGTTTTTCCTCATGACTAGCAATACATTTGGGTTGGCTTTTTTCTCTTTTTTTAGTTCTTCATTCTTGTCAGGATAGTTCTGTCTTCTGGTTATTGCCTTTGCTTGCTTTGCTGACAGGTGGCCTCTGGAGCAGGTCTTACAGGATTATCCCAAACATCTTGTGCTTAGTTTAGAAAGTCATCTTCTGGAGTATGGAGTCCCTTCCTTCTCAGTACTACCAAAGCTTCCCTCTACCTGCTATTTTCTGTCTTACTGTGTGCATACAGAGCACTGCAGCTTTCCTCTCTGTCATGTCCCCCTGTTGTTCAAATCCAATTTAAGATTTTACACAGCTTCATGAACTTAAACAAATGCAAGGTGTGCAGTGCCACCTTTTCACAGCAGGGAGGCTCTTCTCTACAGAGTGGATAGGTAAAATGACAGTTGAAGTGGATAATAAAGTCTGGGTAGCAGGCTTTTTCTACTTTAATACCAAAAATAAGCATCCTAGCAACTTGTTGTGGTAATACTAGCTAATATATTGTTTAACTTCTCATAAAAACTAAGTATGAATTACACAAACTTTATCATAATTTTCAAATCTTTGTACCAGTGTACCTCTGTAGCCTCACCAGTCCCAGCTGATTTTTTACCATGCGGGTAGGAGAAGACAGTCATGTACTGTGACATAGTATCCTTGTTTCTTTCTGCTCAAATTCCAGAATGCCGGGACTAAGCTGTAGATTTTACCAGCATAAATTTCCAGAGGTGGATGATGTAGTGATGGTCAACGTTCGGTCCATTGCTGAAATGGGAGCCTATGTCAGCCTGCTGGAGTACAACAACATTGAAGGCATGATCCTTCTCAGTGAGCTTTCCAGAAGACGTATTCGTTCCATAAACAAACTCATCCGCATTGGGAGGAATGAATGTGTCGTGGTCATAAGAGTTGACAAAGAGAAAGGTATTTGGGGATATTGTAGGGTATATCAAGATTGAATTCACAGAGAGAAATGCAGACAAGCTAGGTGGCTTAGGTATTCATTGGTTTTGTCAGGGATTCTTTTTTTAAGGTACTTAAGCAAGCTAGACCATCATGATACTTATGATCATTCTTTTTCTGAGTCCTTTGGGATTTGGGTTAGTGAAGGTCAGTCACATCAGTAAAGATTTGTTTAAGTGGGTCCTCACCAGCTCAATATTTGGTGAACAAACCATACTGAAGTGGAATTTTATTCTGATATCCATGCAGGTTTTCTACGTTTTAACTGAAGAGAAAAATCATCTGGTGTAGAGGTAAAAATCTAAATGCTGAGCATTGAATGCTCACAATCCATCCAGTTCGTTAGCAAGCCTAGAACCTTGTCTATAGAATAAGATAACACGTATGTAATCATTGTACCATATGAATTCCATAGGTTGCATGTTGAAGTTGTACAGGCAACTTTGTCTTTTCCTGTTTTCTGAACATTGGAATCTTCTACTCTAAAGATTTTTAAACTATGTTTTCTATTTAGGACATGTCAGATTTTGATAATGCCGTTCCATGCATTCCTGATTATTTTTTTTATACCTGGGTATAGACTGGGTATAAACACTAGAAACAGACCTGTTGGTATGATGTTTCTCAAGTAATATGCTTTTCTAGAGTACTTCTGAAACTGCAGTTACCCCTGAGATGAAATAGTACATATCAGGATAAGGAAAAGCAGAGAGTAAAGGAAGATGAGAATCAACTTGCTTTAGATAGATCTGAAGTGAAATAATTACTGAACATCTCTAGTTAAATAATATTTCATCTTCCAAATCTATTTTGTTCTCTTATTAACAGAGAAACACATCTGGAATACACGTGGTGGTTTTTCACTGAATCTTTTGGGAACTTAACAGTTTGTGAGAAGTTGGTGGAGGCCTTTTCAAATTTACTAAGACATGGTTCAAAAGACATGGTTTCACAGACAGTTTTTCCAAAAGCATATCCAAGGATTTAGAGTCAGAATTTAAGACCAGGCCTCAAATTAGCAGGTATTAGGAACTGTTCAGAGCTAGGCTGATGGGAGTTCCAACCTTGAATGAAATAGAATTGAGCACTACAAAAATATGCATTAAGCTTGTGTCTTTGTATGCTGGTATGATTTCTGCCAAAACTGTGCAGCAAAATAAAAGTGGATCACTACTTGCTAAAATATGAAAATTTCTTGTAAGTTTTCAGAGGAAACATGAAGGCAGTGATTTTAAAGAATGCTGTACAAAAGATTTGCTATTGTAAGTCTTTATAGTTGTAAGAGTAATTGAATATCCTGATTTGGATCATGCTTTGATAAAATTCATTAAGGTTTGGTTTCATTAGTTTTGGTAGCGATGGATAGAGAGCGCGTAGGCAAGGGACAAATCCTGATCCAGAGTGTTCGTTCTTTAGGCGCTTCTCTTGAAGCAGTTAGGCATAGTTTGCACAATGCCTGACACTTTCAAATTGGTTTTCCCTAATAGGCTATATTGACTTGTCAAAAAGAAGAGTTTCTCCAGAGGAGGCACTCAAATGTGAAGACAAATTCACAAAATCAAAGACTGTAAGTTGTTTCTCTGTATTCAAGCACTGTCTTTTTTCACCTTTCCTAAGTAACCAAACTGCACAGCCATATGATAGTATTAAAATAAAGCATTGTTCTCATTTATTAGGCATACTCTAATTCTCATTTACCCATGCATATATAACCAGTTCCTCTGTCCATGGATGCTCTGGTTAACTGTTTCTTAATTAATGAAGAGACAGTTAAAAATATCTGATGCAAAGGTGTGTATTTAAATGATCAGAATTCCAAAGTATATGCTGGTTTAGCATGCTGTGGACAACTTTTCTTGAAAAGGCATGCAGGTAATTTAAGGCATTGACTCCCACCTTTACTACTGTATGATCCTCTTCTGAGTAGAAGACTTACCATTAAATATTACTTTTTATTGTAAATTTTTGTCTGCTTTTGATACTTGCTTTGAGTTTTTTCGCTCTTCTTTTGTGTTCCAGGTTTACAGCATCCTTCGCCACGTTGCTGAAGTCTTGGAGTACACTAAGGATGAGCAGCTTGAGAGTCTGTTCCAGAGAACTGCCTGGGTCTTTGATGACAAGTACAAAAGACCAGGATATGGTGCCTATGATGCATTCAAGCATGCAGTCTCGTAAGGACATTTTTTCTACTTCTAGGAGCTCTTTTCAAATTGCAGAAAAATACTTTCTAGTACCTAAAGGGGCCTATAGGAAGGCTGGGAGGGACTTTTTACAAGAGTGTGTAGTGAGAGAATGAGAGGTAGTAGATCAAAACTGAAAGAGGGGAGATTTAGGTTAGACATTAGGAATAAATTTTTTACTGTGAGGGTGGTGAGAGACTGGAACAGGTTGCCCAGGGAAGTTGTGACTGCCCCCTCTCTGGTAGTGTTCAAGGCCAGGTTGGATGGGGCTCTGAGCAACCTGATTTAGTGGGAGATCTTCCTGCCCATGCAGGGCTGTTGAAACTAGGTGATCTTTAAGGTCCCTTCTAACTCAAACCATTCTGTGATCTCCTGGAACAGATCCATCAGAATATTCTTATGGGTTTGGTTGGATTTTTTTCTCCAGACTCCATATGTAGAATGTACTGATCAAGTAAACCTAGTAAATCCATCTTCCAGTTGCTTATTGTAGGTTTCTCTGTCTTACTGCTTTCTTCAAGTTCCCAGTGCTCTTGAGAAAGAAGCTCAGGGTTTACTTGTTTTTAGCTATCTTTGAGTGTCAGCCACTCTGTATCAGATTTTTAAAAGCAGTAATTGAATGTGATATGGATAAATACTGAGGCATTGGTGAACAGTGTGTTTTAAGTATAAAAGAAACGTGATTGCAAACACTAGAGAAATTTCCATTGCTCCAGTGAGCCTGTGACATTTCTAACAGAAGTAGTGCTGATACTGGTTTGTCTGTCAGAGTTTGCCTGCTCTTAGTCTCAAGCAGGTGTTATAAAAAATATCTGTGTATCTGAAGATACTTCCACTCAAAGCTCACAGTCATTCTTCCACTTTGCAGGCAAAGTTTTTCTTCTTTAAATGCAACCAAACGGCTTGTTACTTCTCTAGACTTGCAAACATAAAGAATGGGAATCGGATCGTGAACTTAGAAATGAGTTATGAAGAGAAGGAGATGGAAATTGTGATGCCAAGGGAATATGCACAAGGGAATATGTTCTAAATTTTTTAGGTAGCCTGATATTTTAATTTGCTTTCAGGGTTAACTTACTTGGTTTCCCTCTAAAGATTCTGTCGTGAAATTGGCAACTCAAAAAATAGATTTATCAATAAGCATTTCCAGTTTTGCTCTCTTTATAGCACATAAACCTGTGAGTGATGAACTTGAATTGAACGATAGATGGCAGTAATAAAATCTTAAGAAATTGTATTGACTTGAAGAAGTGGGGCACTTGGTAGCATTGTGATTAGCTTAAAACCATGTGTTTTGGGGGAAGAAACGAGTTGTGTCCTCATTTGGACTGGGTGTGTTCTGTTTCACAGAATAGTAATTATTTTTAATGATGGTAAATTTGCTGCTAAAGGGCAAATCTGTGCATGTGCTGAAGGAATTCCAGATCATTCTCCAACAGATAAATACTTAAGCACCTATATAATAGAAGAACAAGAAACTGTAGCTACATGGGCTGTTTAAGCTTCTCTTAACTCAGAAAAAATCCTGAATGTTTAAAACACCTTTTCATTGCTTAAGAATGTAGCCACCAGATAAGTATATATCTGTGATTCAGTTACTATTAAAAAGGAGTCCAGAATAACACAGTATGAGTATAGTTTACTTCATTGGATGACAAAAATACTGTGTTTGAATGAAACATTAAAATAATTCAAAAACCTCAGATTCATTGTGTGTTCTTTTCAATGTGATAAGAGTATATCTTCACATTGGAGGAAACATAGATACCAAGCAACTAGATATTTGTCTCACTCTGTGTATCATACACAAATGGAGCTGAAAAAAAGTCACTCCATTGCTTTTAAAATAGTAATTCAGATTTTTCTTCCAGGAACAGATTGAGTAAACTAATCTGGTGGGTTTTTTTTATTAAATGCTTCAGATATAAACTATTTTTTAAATAGATGTGTTTATTTTCTTTACAGCATCTCAATGGACTCTTAAGAAATTTCCCTGTTTTCTTTCCCTAGTAAATACCTAGGTTTATGCATAAGAATATTGAAATAGTACCAGAAGTTAATGTTGTGTCATATTCCACTTTGGTATAACTTCTGTCATGTTTCCTTGGCTCAGTGACCCCGCAATCCTGGATAGCCTGGATCTGACAGAGGAAGAGAGACGTGTACTGATTGACAACATTAACAGGCGTCTAACACCACAAGCAGTCAAAATCCGAGCCGGTGAGTTCAAAGAACATCTGCACAGATAGTCAGTGTAGCAGAGTCATTTTTTAACTAGATTTGAGAAATTGCCTCTGCTCTGCAAGGGTGTGTTGAAGAGCACTTGCCCTTGTAGATTACTGTGGAGAGATGGAAAGATCCACATCTTTTCCATGTGGAAAGAGCCACATCCACATGACATTGAAGTCAAGGAGTGAGAGCAAAAAGTAAGGTAATGAAAAATTCGTTTACTTATTACTTTAGACCACCATGAGTTAACATAGACTTCAAAAATGTAAGAGGGATGTGATTGTCATGAGGAATTAAATTGCTAACATAAATAGCGCTTCATTAGTTTTGGAAATAAAGTTACTTGACAGGCATGTTCTGTTCCTTCATCTGTCTGTTTCATTGTGATGGTCTAAGTTGTTTCTAACTGTGACTTCAAGAGTAAAAATTTTCCATTTGTAGCCTCATCCTGAGGCTGAGTGTGGTGCTCTTGTGTGAATTTGTGATGGCTGAGAAATTAGCAGGTTGTCGTTCACTGCCTAGAAGCCATACTAGCTCTCTGTGTATCTTAGTATTGCACCATTGCTACGTAGGTAAAGACATCTTTGTCTATAGACTAATCAGAGTATTGCAGATAGGACCAGCACTGGTCTATGCCTTAACTCCCAGGCATCTACAAAAAGCTATAGTTAGCTATTGTTTTAAATATATGTTAATATAACTTATCTTAAAAAAATAAATTCCAGTGCTCCTCAAGTGATGCCTCTGATGTAAATGCTGACATAATTTCATGAATTTGTGGATGTGCTCTTTTTCAAGCTTTATTTTTTGAGATAGATCTTTAATTTTCTCTGGTATTTATTGCTTTTATGCCTTCATGTTTGCATGTGAAATGCATTATTACTCCTGTTGAGTTTATTGGGTGAGAGGTGAGTGAACATGGGTATATAAATTCATATCTTGGCTTTTCAAAGCACAATGTAAAATGTATGTCTAAGAGGTTATGAAGATTTTTCCCTCAACTTACAAGTCAAGAAAGTAAATACCTTCCTCAGCTTTGGGAGCTAATGAGACTTTTATTGTGGATAAACATTAGATACTTAAAAGACTTCTTTAAACTAAAGTTAGAAAGCTTTAACAATTCTACAGCTTTTGGTAACTTCAGTGTTTTATTGTTTGTATTCCTCTGTCCTAGATATTGAGGTGGCCTGTTATGGTTATGAAGGCATAGATGCAGTAAAAGAAGCTTTGAGAGCAGGATTAAACTGTTCCACAGAGAACATGCCCATTAAAGTAAGTGTCTGTTTTAATAGTGGAAAAAAAAAGCAACATTTTCTGATGTCCTGAGGTAACAGTGGCACGGAATTGCAATGTCACAATCATGTAGCTGAGGCTGGGTAGGCAAGTACTTGCTTTCTGGGTCTTCTATAGCAGGACTGTAACACACTTCTTTTCCACTGTGTGCTGCCAGTTGTTCTTGTGACTGTGCAGTGGCTTCTCCTCCATTTATTAAAGTCTAGAATTGGCACACCACATACCTGCTGCTCCCTTATGTAGCCTCAGGTAGGGAGCAAAAAATTTTATTTTCAGATAGAAGATTATCTAAGAAAAGGAATGTTTGCTCCACATATGTTTGAGTGTTGATAAAAGGGCTCCTGTACTCAGGCCTAGTTTTTCTTCCCCAGGAATTTAGGATATTGAATGCATTACTGAATAAGTGTTTTCAAAAAACTTTTAAATGCTTCCATCTTCAAAAATGGTGTTTTACAATGATTTCTTCTAACAATACAAAAACTTTATTTACCCAGTCATCTTAAAACAAAAAAAACAACATACTGTTGTCACAGTCTTTTAATTGTTTGAAAAATTATGTAATAGGACGTTTTACTGATCTACAAAGTGGATATTCTCTCTGCTTGACAGTATTAACGTACTATGTAGAAATGACTGATTGATGATGTTGGAAATCAGATGGGCTGTGTGCTTTCCGGTCTGCTATTTCCATCCAAGCTGTTTATACTTCTAGAAAGGATTTTTCTAATGGGGTAATGTTTCTTCTGTGAATTGTACATTCATTGGACAGTATTGGTCAATTTGCTTTTGAGATTTTTATTTCTTTGGTTTTGTTACTGAGTTTGCTTCTTTTTTTCTACCCCCTAATCCCCACAATTTGATAGATTAATCTGATAGCCCCTCCTCGTTATGTGATGACTACTACAACACTGGAGAGAACTGAAGGACTGTCTGTTCTGAATCAAGCCATGGCTGTAATTAAAGAAAAAATTGAGGAAAAGAGAGGAGTCTTTAATGTGCAGATGGAGGTAAGAACCCATTACAATTATATTCTATTTTTTTTTCCTCACAACATGTTTAAAGTAGAGCAAAATCAGTAGTGCTAGGAGAAATTTTAGCAAAAAGGTATTAAGAAACTAAAAAAACCCTACACTTCTGTGTGCCTTAAACAAACAAATGGCCAAAAATTCTGGTTTTCCTGTTCTTTGTTGTGGGACTTCAGGATGTATTTTATCTCTTGCTTTTTATGGAGAATCACAGCCTATAAATGTATACAGTCTTTCTTAACGACAGTTTACTATGTGTTCTGGTTTTCAGCCTAAGGTGGTAACTGACACAGATGAGACTGAACTTGCAAGGCAGTTGGAAAGACTGGAGAGGGAAAATGCAGAAGTGGATGGAGATGATGATGCTGAAGAAATGGAAGCCAAAACTGAAGACTAACTGTTCTGGAAAATTGAAAAAAGAGACCATACAAAAAACTGGAGACCCTGTTGCAAACACTCTGAGCTAAATGTTTCCAGTATTGACAACTTCAAATGCAAATGCTTGAAGTGTTTTACTGTTTAAAAAAGGCCAATATGTGAAAGGCTCTTCTGAATAATATTTGATGCAGCAGCTTGCACAAATTGAATCCTTTGAAGTGAACCTGTCTAGTCAAGTTCAAGGCACAAATCTGGCCAGAGGGAGGTTGAAGCTCCATGCTTAACATTTTCATACATAACAATTCCTAATTGGTGATTTACAGCTCAGTGGAAGCACCAAAACAAAGCAAGCTGAACAGTTCTATACAGAATGTATTTGACTAAATATTGAATAAATTTCTGGGCTATGTAACTCAAGATTTTTTTTCTTTTTCCTCTTTTTTTGACATGGCCTGGAATGGTGTGAATATAGAACCTGGAAGGCTATGATCAGTAGGTGACTCCCCTTTAACACTGCAAGGGCTTTCTTTTGTTTGCTTTAAATCAGGCCAACCATGAGTGGAACAAAATGTTTTCTTGCAAGTTTGTTAATGCAGACTTCTTTATAAGAGCATTTCTGTTGTTTTTTATGTGCTTTTACAGACAGAGAACTTTGAACTTAGCTTGTTACCATTCCAATAAAGATAGCTGATAAATGAAAAATTACATATAGTTGCACTTTGCTCCTATAGGTGAATATAGCAGGCATTTCAATGAACTTTCTCATACTTACTCATAGACTGTGCTGTCTTCTGAGTTCACTGCTGCATGACCTTCAGTTCTGCCTACCCATAATCTGGTTTGCACTGGACTGAGCTATTAACTAGAGAAACAACCTGTTTATCTTTCCTGAAGAGGAGAAAGATGTGTTTTACATGTTATGGTATATAAAAAAACTCCTGTTTCCCTTCTATGTTTCTTTACTGTCATGTCCCATCTTGCCCATCTCCTTCCTTTTCTTAGTATTTTGGGCTGCTAGAGGAAAAATACAGGAAAAAGGAGGCTTTGAGCCTTAATTAGAAATTCTTAGTACTGCCACAGCAAAAACAGTGTAATTGCTATGTGGTGGTGTCACAAAAGGCATTCACAAAGGACATAAATACTGCAGTCTGTCCTTGATTATCAGAGAAGTTCACATGTGCCCAACTCTTAACAATAATGCAAAGCCAAAGCAACTAACCTCCAGTCTTAGCAGAATGTTGTAAAATACCTTAACTTATCATTACAAAATGAAGAAACTTTTTTTTAATGGTTATTTTCTCAAATTAATTCTTTTCAGAAGCTGCATAGGGGACCCTTGTGGCGGCTTGAAGTTGTGATGTCAATTTCCTTATTGAACCGTTCTTCCAGCTTTGCCCATTCACTACAATAGTGAACTGAGGCTTTAATTAAACACAATAGGTGGGTACTCAGACAAAAGAACAAAGCATTTATAAACTAAAAAGTTACCTGTATGCCAAAATAATGCTGTAAAGCAATGCACTGAAAAATGAGTCACAGGTGCTCTTTCCTTGGAATATTATCGGGGATTTAGAATTGCTATGATTTCTAAGAACAGTTTTGATGATTAATAGGTGAGTATCATTTTTATCAGTAACTCAAGCAAAAGTTTTTAAACTTGTTCAGTAGCTATAGGAGCTTTTCTAATTGAACCCCAGCATGCTGGTGTACACAATTCTGTGTCAATTTTGAGTGTCTGAAAAAGAAAAAATGTGAGATGGTGAGAGTGGTAACGAAGCAGCTGAAGATAAATGCATTTCAGTCACTTGTTGTGCTGGCAGATAAAACCAGGCTCTCCTCTTGCGTGAGCAAATTTTAACCAAGAAGCTGAAATAAAAGACAACAATTTAGTGGATGTTTCTCGTGTGTTGCAGTAGCTGGAAGGAGGAGATCTAGGAGGGCCATTTTCGCGGCCTGTTAGAAGGTGTGTGTAAGGGAGCACTGCATCTGTGGAGCCTGCTCTGGACCTCAGCTGTGCTGCAGCAGTTGCTGTAGCTGTGAGTAAGGGATCTTTAGAAGTTGTTGAGATTATACCTTTTATCTCACCTGGTCTATTTTGTATGTGTGGAACTGCGTGTGCTTCCTAGATGCTTAAAGTAAGGGTTGTGTGT